CGACGAATGGAAAACTGGCATTCATCAGGCGCCATCAAAACAGTCAAGCATGAATGAAGACATCCTGCGCCGGTGAAAGCGATAACTGCTATGCTCATTTGCAGCACTGCAGGCACCACGAACACCAGAAAAGGGTGCAAAGAGTGACTGCTGGTGATCAGATTTCCGAGGTTATTTCAGGAGAGGGCGAAATGAGGTCACCAAGGACTACAGACGTTGGACGCTTGAACCGACCCAACTGATAACGAACAGTGGTCGAAGCGTTAAGATTGTTTTGGGAGGGGATGAAATGGGAAGAATGAAACGAGAAGGTCGTTTTGAGCCGGTTCGAAACGGGAACCACCCACTCAGCAAATGACTAGGCCGAATGAAATGTTGAGACAAAAAACGCAGTCTGAGTTGTGACATTAAGCAATGCAAAACGTCACGCTTGCATTTCTTAATGTCACAACTCAGACAGTGTTTTTTGGTCTAAATATATATTTCGGCATTGTCATTCGCTGAGCTGCCTCCGTAAATTGCGGTGATTGGCTCTCCGAGCATTGTGCGGAAAGTAGACGCACAGGCTTTTCTTAAAGTGATGTGCTAGCGCTACCTTACGTACAGTTGGACTGCTTTTGACTCAGATGGATAGAAAGTAGTTTGAGTTTCGTTTATTGCTCTGGACAAAAGTTTGCCCCCCGGCAGCTCTTGGAAGTTTCGTCGTTTTGTTTGCGGCACTTAGGCCGGGTCAGCCTGGCCACCCCTGATATAGGCCATCAGTGTCCTTAATTTTGTGCATACTTGCTCTATGTGAGTGTCCCATTTAAAGACCGACGACCAGTTCGCGCTTTTCACCCTTCCCCCGCTTTCTCCTCTCCACCCCCCTCTACCCTGTCCACCGTTGCCTGTTTCCTCCTCCCCCATGGTGAGGAGAATCTTCTGCCTTGCAGAACCTCTAGTCTGGTCGTCGGCCTTTAAGATGTTGGTCTATATACATTCCAAGGTATCTTACATTTGTGACATCCAATTGCTAGGCATGAACAGTTATTACAATATTTATCTTGCATTTTAATGCGTAATTCAGCTAACAGTATTTTCTAGGGTCTCTAAAGCCTTTTACTTGAGGTGTGGAAGTTTTTACGAAAATCTGATTTTTACTTTACCACTGAAAAATATTGTGAATGTCTTCTTGTACTTCTCCAACGGTGACTTTATAATTTTTTGCGGGCGTATACAATCACTGTATCATCTCCGAACTGGAATAATTTGCTTGTTAGTTTTACCTGAGCAATCTCATTGCCATATAAATTAAACAGTAGAGGGCCCAGAACTGTACCTTAGGTACTCCTTGTCTTACCCTAATTGCTCTACTATGTTTCGATCCTAGTCACACTATTTGATATCTGTCTAGAAGATAATTTTGTAACAAGTCATGTACTTTTCCCAAATCTCTATGCTGTACAATCAATCTAATAAAATAGAGTGATTTAGCGTTTCAAACACCCGTGTAAAGTCTATAAAAACAGCTAACACATACATACTATCAAGGTTTTCATATACATAATAAAAAAATCCTCCAGAAGATCTGACGTTCCTATTTTTCTCTCTGAAACCAAATTGCGTGTCAAATAATATATTATGTTTAGCGATAAAACTCCGAAGTATTTTATTGATGTGTTTTTTCATTATATAATTAACTACCGAGAGTATACAAACAGGTCTATAATTAAGGAATTTATTTTTCTTGCCCTTCTTGTATAATGGCCAAACACTGGCAGTCTTAAGTTTTTTAGGAATGATACCACCTGAGAATATGCAGTTATACAGCGGGATCAGAACTGGTTTTATTATGCGGATGTGCCATTTAATGTCCCTTGTCTTTATTTGATCGCATCCCACTGCTTTATTGGTTTTGATTTGGTGCACAGTTTCAATCAGGTCGATCTCTGTCATCTCTGAAAGAAAAAAGTGAATCACAGATTCTGATTTGATTAGGTTAGCTTTCTGTTGGCATAGAGCAAAGTTTTTCAATCCATTGAACATATTCTGTATTGAATTAATTTCCAAGCGATTCCATATTGCATTAATTTCCAAAGGAGACTTTATTTACGTCTTCAATCAAAATCATTTTTTTATTTTTTTGTCCTAGCAGTTGATTTACTAGAAACCAGCATTGTGCTATATCTTTTGTCTCTGACAATTTGGTCCAGGAGTACTTTTTTTTCATACATCTCATGATGGAAGTCACTTAGTTCCTAATTGCTCGATAATTTGTTTTATATGTTCTATTTGGTTCAAGGAACAAAAAGTTAGGGCTCAAACAAGCTGGGGATGGTTGAACATATTTAAACAAAACCCCAAGACTGGAGAAAAAAATGAAAGACGTTTACAACACCCTGTAATGCCGAATAGGAGCGTAGCTCTTGAGGGGAAGGAGGGAAGGGTACTGAGGGGAGGATATACCCCTCCCCCTCCTCCTCCCCTCCTTCAAGCTCCTCCCTCTCTTCCTCCTCCCCTCCCACTCCTCCTTCCTTCTCCCCCATCCTCCTCCCCCTCCTCCGCCTCCCCCTCCTTCTCCTCCCCTCCCCCTCGTCCTCCTCCCCGCACCGTGCATTATGGGACATTTCCCATAATGCACTGCGCAGTTACGGCGACGCCGCTCAAGCCGGAAACGGGCGCCTAATAGCTGCGCTTTAAAGAAAACGAAGGACTTTGTTCTGTCCAGTGTTGGCTTACCGAAGAAAGTAACGAGATAAGTTTCTCGTTACTTGCAAAATAAAGGAATGCGTACCGACTACCTCAAAATAAAAGGAATGCATTACCATTACCAATCAAAATTAATGCACGTTACTTTGCGTTACTTTTTTAATTATTAATTAACACATTTTACCGTTCTGACATTACAGAGGTATGCATAAACGGCAGATTTCAAGAAACATTATGTCTATCCAGAAATTGAACATATTTACCATATCTTTATTACTGTTCCACCTAAATACTCACCAAAAAAAAATGCAAAAAAAAAAATTTCTGATGCTTCGAAGTTTAAAAGCATGAAAAAATTTAAGTGTTATATTTTTAATTCTTTGTAATAATATGCAACGAATAATGTAGCTATGTAAACGTTATGCGAAATAAGTAACGGTAGAATGCTACTATTGCTGTTTTGAAAGGTTTATCGAGTATGTTAGTATGTTACCAAAAAAAGTGGGGCGTTATACCGGTAACGCCATTACTAGTAACGCGTTACCGCCAACGCTGACTTGTGTCGTCCCTCATTTTTTCCCTAGTCTCGAGGTTTTCTCTAAAAATACTGTTTCGCAAGAAGGTGCTGCATATTGGGTAAATAAAGTGCCTAGATAAAACAGTGCCTACTGTTTTTACTGGACAAGTTGGCAGTTTGAGTAGGCTGTTCCAATAAGTGTACTCGACACTTCACTGTGCCTTTGCGCATGCATACCATATTGCTATCGAAGTGTAAACAGTATCTGGATGTTTTCGGCTCAATTCAAGCACAGTTTTAAAGTTAATATTTTAAATTTGACAAAACAAACATTTTTTTTGGGGTCCATTTTTGAAATGAAAGAGGATGCAAAATGCAAGCTGGCCGTTGGTTATTGTATCTTCCGAGTAGTAGAGGCTTTCGAGAACACAGATTGTGTAAAAAACAGCCGTAGCACCAATTAGCCTTTTGCCAGCACTCGATCCCGCCGCTGTGCCGACATAGACGCCGCTGACGCTGATTAACGTATTGTTTTGGCGAAAGTTTGCCGCGTTAAATGTCTATTTTCAGTTTCATATTTATATCCTACATTTATTGGTGGCAACGTACCGCCGAGTCACATGGAAGAAGAACTTCGTTTTTGGTCTCTCGTCGTCGGTTAATAGTGGTTGAGGCGTTTGAAGGTCCCAAAAATAGCACAGGTGTCGCATCACCTGCGAGGATGGGCATTAAAGATTAGCATCAGAATCTCTCGGATCGTGTAGGCCACCTGTCACCTGTCGGACACGTCTCACGGGGAGCTAAATCGAATAGAATGAAATGTCAGGTGGCTTGAGCGTCACAAGGTACTGGTTACGCAAACACAGGCCGGTAGGATGTTCGCCGAGACTGAGACAGCCAGGGCCTTTAAACTCGTCAAACACAAAGTTGGGGCCGAAGTTGACGGAGTACTCCGATTGGCCTGTCACAACGATGACTTGTTGCTTTTTTCTCCGATGCGAATCGGTGTTTTGCGAACTTTCGGCTCCAACTTTGTGTTTGACGAGTTTAGGGCCCCCAGGAGTGGGAATTGATTGAACCCAAGATTCGGCACTGTTGCTGCAGAAAGTTGTTTCTGAGTAAAGTTATTTTCTCATTATATTAAGAAATAAAAAATATGACACTGTTGAGATATTTTTTTTTTTTTAGCAGCACAAAAACTTTTTGTAGTGTATATTTTTTTTCTTCATATTTTTTTAATTTATTATATCTTTCACCAGTTCCTTCATGCTACGTCGTGAGGCAAACACAGTTCCTCCAGCTTCATCAACGCTACTTGCATGAGCGCATGCTAATGAGCCACATGCTCATGCCACATGCTGTATGGGGCTGCACCACTGTGAAAACTAGAACGATCTTGAAATAGTTTTGGTTCCTCTACCATAGAGGCACTGCGGGACTTCTGGTATGGGCGTAACACCCGACCGCAGCTGCCTTTCTCTTCCGAGTTGAATCAAGCAGCAAACAAACATTTGTTTGTTTGTATTTTATTCGAGACAATCACAGACATTGTCTCGGGTGACGTGGCCAAAGGCGGGTGAAACACCCCACGGGGCCATGCCTTCATTTCAGGTACAAAATTAATCGGGCCACAGCGCAGAAAAGCCGACCCAGAGTACGGTTGCGGGCGTAAATGCCGCAGAAGTGATTACTCGCTCCCCCAATATTAACTACCTAGATAAAAGGTTGAAAACGCACGAAACAATCAAACTTTGTATTGCTTGGCGTTTACCATGCCATGTGCTTCCTTCGTCAGGTGTACCTGTCTCTCCTGCCGATCATTGCGGGCGTGATGGTGGCGACAGTCACCGAAATCTCGTTTGACGCCATGGGCCTTGTGTGCGCCCTGATTTCCACCGTCGGGTTTGCCCTGCAGAACATCTACACAAAAAAGGTGGGCCTGCACCTTTTATTCGTATATTTATTCGTCTATACAGCGAGCACTCCCTGTCAATGCTAAGTCGAGAGATACACGTGCGCACATAACTCTAAATCAAGATCAAATGCGGCGGGAATTCGAATTCTGAATTTTCGATGCGCCGTAAATTTCTCGAGCGTGTATCATTTTGCATCCTTATCATAAATTTTCGCAATAAAAAAAAAGAAAAAAAGACATATTAACAGCATTAGCGCACACGTATGAGGAAGAGAGAAGGGACAGAAAAGAGCGCTTTTCTGTCCCTTCTCTCTTCCTCATACGTGTGCGCTAATGCCGTTAATATGTCTAACTACCAACTAGCCCAGTTATCAACCCTTTTAAAGAAAAAAAGAAATGCGCATCAATAAAGCTTTAGTGCGATATATTTTCTAAATATTAGGTTCTTACATGAAGGTCACTAGGAAAGTTTGGAGAGGCACAAACAGAAAAGGTGAAGATAGAGATGAAGTGTGGTACGAGGAAGCCTTATTTTTCCCAGCAGGTGTCGGCCGCAGATTTGAACAGATTACGACACGTCCCTTTGTTAGGCTTTGGGCGCGGACATCGAGAGGCGGGATATTCAGGCGACGATGCCTTACGATTTTGAAGATGGTTTAATACGTAGAGTTATTATATTGTACGCTAGAGGTTCAGCTGGTGCCAGTGTGGTGCCGCGAGTCGGAGAAGACAGCAACCAGTCTAGAATTGACTTCCAGTAATGCTATGGCTATAGAGAAAAGTGGGTGCATTTCTTCTCTGCGCTGGATTATAAGAGCAAATGTTACGAAAAATTCTGACGTAATAAATAGCTTGAGGGGGTGCACCGATTTACGGACTTCGGTCAAAAATTTCTGGAAGTTGCCCTCTGACACTTCTGAAGTAAAGAACAGAAAACCGATTTCGCCTGCATGTCCTAGTTGTTGTGTAAAAAAAAAAAAAAAGCTAACTATTGGCATTTCTGGTGCCCCTCAACTCACTCCCAGTCTTTGGGGTCACACCTGGTTGCACTCCTACTGACGTAATTCGGGGTGAGGTTCCCGTGTGCTCTCTGGGAGGACGCTTTCTCTCCCTCTCTTTGCGTACATTAGCGGGCGTTATGCTGCAGCTTAGAGTCGAGCGAGGTCACATAAGCTCTTTGCCGTAGTTCTCTCGGCTGCCACTCGTGGCTGCAGGTAGGGGAAAAAGCTCTACTTTTACTTTGCGATTATGCACCTTAATTGTTACATTTTTGTATGAACGAATTGTTTTCCCTATTCTCCGGGACACGATAAACAACGTAAAAATGATGAGATGCAGATTCTTTTAATTTTAAAATCGTTGCACCCCCCCCCTTTAAAACATTCCTCAATAATGTGAACGAAAATATGGGTCCGTTACAGTTTTATTCTTTCAAATTCATGGCATTAAACGCAGCACTAAAGTAGCTTCAAACACGCTTTTATGTGCATTGTTGGACACTGTTAGCGCGAACACGGTGTCTGCGCTTTTCTGCAGGGGAGATTTATGGGCCGAACGAACGAAGGGATTTTTTTGGAAAATCAAGAGAGACTACAAGAACTATGTAGTAACACTGACCGCTGTTACTGTTACTGTAACGCAGTAGCTCCTGTGCACATAGACCAGTCAAAATAAAATGAAGGCGAAGTAATTACGAGTTTGATTTGCAATAAATAAGTTTACCTTTATTCTCTCTGCTCATGCAAATGTGCGAAGATGTTTGTTTCAGTGTTCAGAACATCATCCGCACTCTTGAAATCTTTTGAAAATAGGGAGAGGCCAGAAAACAGGTGCCTAATAATAACTCTTGCCATATAAAATAATAAAAAAAGGCACCTTTAATTGCCCGCATAATTTATTCTTTTCGTTTCCAGTTGATTTTTTTATTGCTCGTAAAGTTGCACGATGAATCATTTTCATAAAGTGACAGAGCTGGCAGATTAGCAATATATTAGCATCATCAGAATGCTGGTGCACCTTGAACAGACTCCTCATTCCTTTCAATAGTTATTTTGCTTAGAGTCGTCGCTCATCTTTGCACACTTGTCATGGAACACAGGTTTGGGCCTGAAATATAGCAAATTTTCACATCATTCACTGATAAAGAAAAATTCTGTAACTAAAGCAATTCCACTTTTACAATGTTAATGAAAGTGCATACTATTTGCTACGACCCAAGTAACAAAGGTTATTTCTGTTATTCTCCGGCAAAGAGACAAAATGCACGCCCATTTTTTTTTAGGAATTCACAGGAGCACCACAATAGTTGACTGATTACTGTCTGCTTCAATCTGCATCCCAGAAGCCATGTAACTCTAGTAGTAAGTTGAACCTCTAGCTTACATTATAACAACTCTGTGGTTTAATGCAGTTGTGGACATCACACTAGTTCAGTTGCGGTTGTGTTTCCGGCAGCTGGCAAACAAGTTCAGTTTCAGTTTTGCCTCCGGCAGCTGGCACCCATAGTTGGCTTCGTTATGCCGCCCGAGGTCACAGGCATCTGTGTAAACAGAGCATCAGTTTCACTTTTGGAATAAAGAACCGACGTGCCCACACCAAGACCACTCGCTTGTGTAAAACCTTCTCTCGTGCAATTAGACCAAATAAATAAATAGTTCTGTATGTATCAGACTTCTACAGCGAAGCTGTTATGTGCTAGGATCTGGAAACAAATGCGTCCCTGGATGTTAACAAAAAAACTTTCATTTAATGGCGCTCTTCGTTCCGATTGGTCGTGCCAAGTATAAGTAAAAAGAGGGGGCAACCAGCGTGAGTCAGCCTTCCTTGGCATTATTAGATGGGGAGGTCCTGATCTCTTGTTATCATCTGCAGTCATCGACTTATCTTAGCTAGGAGTGTGGTGCGAAGAGGTTGAGGGCAGAATGCGCCAATCTAACCTTCTTTTCTTTCGCTTCCGCATTGCTGATAAAGAGACTTGGGCTCTTTATCAGCATCGCTATTAAAGAGCCCAAGTTGCTGTAAAACCCAGAATAGTCGTATACCAACAACAGAATGTGTATCGACCTCAAGTTTAGCAAGAACATATACGAATTCAAAATACAACCATTGGCGGTTTACCACAGTGATCGTAAGGCAATGATCATTTTAGTCACTAAGAATTTATTAAAGACAATTAAACAATAAAGTCGTGTACGTGTCTTCATTGCAATCATATGTAAATCATATAAATGTTGTATAGTTGTCGTAAAGTTGTCGTAATGATAACAGCTTTGCTGGTCCTCCATCTTCATGTGAAGTGGAAAAGCTCTATAATTTTTCTACGACACAGTCATCTCATCTACGACACAGTCATATCATAGACAACTCCGTTCCCCCCAAATCGTCCACAATGTCGTGTCCTTCATAATGACGAGGCAAAAATGCTTGTACATAACCCATATGGTGTATTTAACTCATGGCATGGGTGAATTTCAATATGGGGGTGTATACAGAGGGCAACATCTTCCTCCCAAGAGCCTCTTTTTTTTTTATGAAAAAACAACACACATTATTTAATTCTTAGAAAGAGCCACCTCATTCTTCGTGAAATAGCAATTGTTCTCGTCTGTGATGTCACGTCCATCCGTGTCGTTAACACTGTCCACAACAGTACATCTCGTTGCAGATCCCCGTCCTAAGCCACATTCCCACTCCCAATCCCCAAAGCCATTTCCACTCATGATATAGCAGGGTGTCCATATTACAGGGCTCCATATTAACGAGACATGACTGTGTTGCGCAAATAAATGTTAAATGCACGGGCCCTTGACAGGCGGTGCTTGGTGCCCACAAGGTGTTGCATATGAAGGAATTACTAGATGGCGCAACAGGAGACCCCTTCCCGCTCCCTTCTGGACGTTTCCCCCAAAGTGTGACTCTTGGGGAATGTGACGGGGGTGTTGTGTAGAGCACTGCACGGGCCTACTTTAAGAGGCCCGGTTCCGCTGACTTACTTTTACCCGACCCGGCCCCGGCCTGATGGGATGCCTACCTAATGAGGCCTGGCATGAACCTGGCCCGATCGGATGCCTACCTGATCGGGCCCGGCCCGGCCCGGTGAGAAGCCAAGGCGTGCCTCATCTTTTAAATTCAAAGCTGCCTCAAGAAAGTGTTAGTGCATTTCATTCATTTAGCCTAATTGGCATGAAAGACGCTGTCAAGACGTTATGTCGTCATAAAAATGTGAATGTCAACTTAGAGATGTTAATTTCACTCATTCAAAAGATGAAGAGAAGTTTTGAGACATTACAGAGCATAGACAAGTCACAGATTCTATGCAGTCCAGTATAAACTGAAGCTACGATGGATTAAAATTTTTTAGTATTAGCATGTTTCCGTGCTACCCAGCCTGGGCTTTCAGATCGGGCCGACCCCGTGCAGAGCGTGGTGTACAGAATTACGCTGACATGCGGTAGGGTGCACAACGGCCAGATAGTGTGATGCGTAAATAAAAGGATGCGCGAGCATGACCTGTCATTGCGATCAACAATGGGAAGACACCTACCTCTTCATTGCAGAGATTGTATGTGCCAACGCAACTTTCAAGTTACCACGATTGTGGGGAGGGCACGTTAAACATAGCGAGGGAGGTGCTAGAAGCGTACGCTATAAAAGAAGAGGGTACAGAAGGCTGCGTCAATCGGCCACCAGTTTTTTTTATCCAAAAAGAGATTGACTTTATTGACACGTGCTGATGGGTCATTAGTTGACTGTGTGTTTTTTTCTGTGTTTTCTGTTTTTTGCTTTAGCTATCTCTTAATAAATGTTCGGTTGATAGCAAGCGTCCTGTTTGCCTCCCTTTTGGTCCTTGTCCATTGTTAACGCCCCAATTTGACAAGTCACTAACCAACTTGCCTGCCTCGCCACTTTAGTTCAGTTCGTGGGGAAGAGCTACTTTTGGGTCAGGGGGGCCTTTATAAGAGATGCTCGTTGCTCGGACGACAGTCGGTTAGCGGGCTGACCCTCGGGAGGAGAGTCTAGCTACGACTCGCCAGACAATCGGACCGAGAGCAGGTGCAGTTACGGTCGTAATGTCCCAAATGCCGATGACCCCTCGCTCGCAGGTGATCAGGGACACGAAGCTGCACTACCTGCGGCTGCTGCACACCTTTGCCAGGCTGGCACTCACCTTCTTCATTCCCGTCTGGCTCTTGGTGGACGTGCGGAGCTTCGCCAGGGGCCCCGCCCTGGTGAGTGGCGACGCGCGTTCGAAGGCGCCCGATTGCGCGTCTGCCCACAAACTGTGTGCAATACAGGGCACTCGGAACCGCGATCCGTCTTTAGCCAGGGTGGTGCCACTGGCACGTCTTGCCTATACGGCCTAGAAGACATGGGCTGTGCCTTACCCCACCAGCGTGCCTCGCCGTCAGCGCATCTTGCAGCGTGTCAGAAGGACCCGAACGCTAGCAGGGGGCAAAGTCGAGACGGACATGTCTGCCGCTTTGTTGCGACTCTCGTCGAGATTCGGTGTGTTTACCAGCTGTGGCGAGTTGGGGATCCACTACCGACTATGTCGTGCGAGGATCTTGTCTTTGAGGTGGCATTAGTTTCGCTGCTGCTTTCGGTTTGACTTTGCTTGTTTTGGTTGGTGATGATGTTGCTAGTGTTGCACAAATATTTGAATTTATGAAATAGTAGTTTCGAATAATAAACTATTCAATATTCGCTTCGAGATGAACTGAGGTATTTATGCTTTCCCAAGTGTTGACTGCGGCGGGTGAACCCCGTTGAGTGTGCTTCTCACCGAGCACCTGTGCACTGTGGGGAAGCAATACCCACAGAGGTCGCAGGCTTCGCTGGTATTGCTTCCCTGCAGTGCACAGGTGCTCGGTAAGAAGCACACTCAAAGAGGCTAACCTCCCACAATTGTGCAAAAATATATGTTACGCAGGAACGTCTTGACCACCCACTTTCATTATTCGTGCTTCTTTTTGTCAAATTTCAAATTGGAAAAAAAACATTTACATATAGCTATCAGATTTATAAATCCTCAAACTAAAAGTTAGGGCGCAATGTAGTCGGTGATGATTGAACATGATTTAACACAACACCCCGAGACTGGAGAAAAACAAAGGACAAACACAACTCACGAAGTGTCAAATCCTATTAATTGGGACAGCTGAAACAGGTTTGCCATTTACATGCCACAGTTCATAAATATGGTTATATTAAAATTAAGTCAGCTTAGAAGTGGACAAGTGGAAGGTTTGGCACAACCTTCACAGTTCAGCTGAATTTTCGTTTATTAATAGGGCACGGTAGTGAAAGGCATAAAAAAATCTAGTCGATATTCAATTCAAAATTATTCGGCCATAACCATTATTCAAGTTGAATTTGCTTTGAACTCAAAATCCAATATTCGCGCATGCCTAATGATGACCTTAGCAAATGCGTTCTCCACTGTGAAACATCACTTGGATGTTGTCTTCAGCCCATATTCTGGCAATTGGCATGAAAAAAGATATATAGTGTGTTGCCCTGTGAAGGACAACTGCACTTATTTCTGCATATTTCGAAACACTGTGCAGTTTCACAGGCACTAAACTAAAACAAAAAAAAACAACATATAATTAAAGTAATACTGTATAATCCTTGATAGGCACCCACTGAGTATTCCGAGATAATTATGCAAAACTGGGGGATAGACGCTCTTTAGGCCTGCAACAGGTAAAGATATGTCCTTCATGTATTTTCCCAATGTCACAAAATTTAGGGGTGGGTGCTTGTTGTGGAACAGGCGGATGCTTGATATTTTACAGTACACAAAATATTAACCCCTCGCCACCCAGCCCAAGAAGAAAGAAGTTATTTTTACCACGATTAAAGGGATACTTCAACGAAATTTGAAATATACCTGATGTGTTCAAAATTAGGTTGAATATGATCTACAATATCTGTAAATGACAATCGCACGTTTGTATTTTGAGCCTGGTGGCTGTATTTTTTCGTTATAAACGGCCCACTCAGGCAAGCGCTCGGAGAAGACCCAGGGAGACCACGTGACATCCAACGCGATTGTGACGTAGTTTGTCTTGGGACGAGCAAAGCTACGGCGAGGCTGACGTCAAGAGGATATCCAAGTCGTTCCAGCCACCGAAGCGACTGCTTTTGTATGAATTTTGAGTGACGGGTTAATCTTCTATAATCTTGTAGAGGGACAAGCAACTTCTGGGTCACACAAAAGAGATTCTTGGGGGACAGGGGAGTTCCTCCTTCCCCTCTTCTCTCGGGGTAGCCGGAGGCGAGACAGTTATTGTCACTACCTGTCAAGGTTCCTGGACGGGCATTACAAACGAGGCATTAGCGATATCCACCAGGTGCTCTTTGCTAATTGTTTGATTTGTTTTAAAATTCCTTTTCGTGTCTTTTTTAACAAGATATGGGTGTGTCCGATGCGATACTGCTCCTCTGAACACATATAGACCAAAAAATAAGTACCGAAATTGCGTTGTAGTATCTCTTTGATGTGCCACAGGACTTGTAGCACGTTTAGGAATCACTTCTCACTTCAAATGAGTCTCACAATGCAAATATTGCACTAAAATAGTTTTTTTTTTCCAATAGGGTTGTTATGTAACATATGTCTGCACTTAGAAATATATATTATTTGGGAGCCTCTAGGGGTGAATCCCAGATATTTCTCCATATCAGGTGCTCTCATCCTGGGGTCACTCTTTTTAACCGGCCTTTCTCGACACTCTTTTCGTCCGGAACCGTAACTTTCTCGTTTTCACTGTCGTCGAATTTAGTTCGTAGTGACTTTTTCATCTCAGAGTTCACCGAAAGCGTGAGCTTGAAGGACATTGTTGAACAGCAACGGAAAAAGTGGAGACCAAAGTTGCCTAAACAAAAAATTTCCACGTGCTGTCAGCAAGGTTGTTTCCATCCGCCACTCATAGATGGCAGTAAAAGTCTAAAAAATAAAAATTACCAACCTATTTGGAAGCGGTAGGAAGCAAACTGAAACTGAAGCCCACAATGAGCCTACTCGGGAGTGTGTATGGGTTCGGAGATATTTTTATTTATTTATTTACAGATTACTGAAAGTAAATATTGTGACCCAAGCGGGGCAAATTATACGATGCAGTAAAAGAGAGTAAGGGGCGCAATTACACAAAACATTACAAAATACTAGACACTATACATTGTAACAAAAAAAGATGGAGCAAGTGAAAAATATATAAAAGCATACAAACAAAATATTTGCGTCAAAAAGATGTTAAGTTGATTTAAGTATGTTGTAAACATATGAGGAGTCTGGTTGCTTTATTTTGATATGGTTCTGGGAAAGAAAGAGTATATAAACACATTTGGGCCAGTGAATGCGGAAGTTCTATTCGGGGGGACGGTTGCGTCTAGTGCGTCTAGTCGAAAATGGTTGAAGAAAGGATGACGATTCCAGCCGAAGTTGTCGCACCAGAGTTGATATTGCCACGCGAAGGTGGCAGTGCGTGCGGCTGCCACACGAAGGAACGAGGTTTGGACCCCGCTCGGCCCTGTTCTCGTAACAGACATTGCTCTTCTGCAAAGTCCCAGCCCACTCTTGGGTCTCGTCGCGTGTTCCGGTGAAGAATGTTCTCGCATGTACCACATCCACAGACGCAGTGGTAGTGCGCTGCTTCGGGACGGTCCCTCTTCCGTCGCCGACCTGCGACGCTCAATACGTCATGTTTCAGTTTGCGGGTGCAAGTTTGCATTGCTTGGGAGAAGAGCGTGTTGGTTTAAGTCATGGATGAAGAAAGAATAAAACAATTAAAACAGGGACAACAGAACCCCATCTTTCAACTAGCCACAGACGAGTAAACTTTCAAACAGCGAGCAGCCGACTACAGTAAAACCTCGTTATAACAAAGTTGAAGGAGTAGTCGTAATTATTTTGTTATAACCATTAGTTTGTTATAGCCAATGTCCATTTCTTCGCACTATTAGCAAGCAAGGGGAATTAGGATTGCTTTGTTATATCCATTAGTTTGTTATATCCCATTTTGTTATAACGAGGTTTTACTGTATACCCAGTAGGAGTAGGGGAGAGAAGGGGGAGAGAAGGAAAGAAAAGAAACGCGAAGTGCAAATCGGGGTGGTAGGGTTATCTCGGATTTTAAAAATTCAACCTCAGTTTTCGTCAGAAGGAGGAAAGGGTTAGACACGTTGTTTTTTTCTGTGGTCATGGCGAATGATTCTATGATTTCCCTGCCGAATCTGCTGTCATGCCCCCCCAGGATTTTTGTGTCATCAAAGAGGGGATGACAACGCAAACACGAACGGGCATGTATGACTATGGGATGATAAGAATCTGGAGAGGCCTTAGAAACTTCGTTGTGATGTTTGCGGACTCACAATCACAGACTTTGCGAACATCACAACGAAGTTTCTAAGGCCTCTCCAGATTCTTATCATCCCATAGTCATACATGCCCGTTCGTGTTTGCGTTGTCATCCCCTCTTTGATGACACAAAAATCCTGGGGGGGCATGACAGCAGATTCGGCAGGGAAATCATAGAATCATTCGCCATGACCACAGCAAAAAACAACGTGTCTAACCCTTCCCTCCTTCTGACGAAAACTGAGGTTGAATTTTTAAAATCCGAGATGACCCTACCACCCTGATTTGCACTTCGCGTGTCTTATATCTTTCCTTCTCTCCCCCTTCTCTCCCCTACTCCTACTGGGTATAGTCGGCTGCTCGCTGTTTGAAAGTTTACTCGTCTGTTGTTAGTTGAAAGATGTGGTTGTGTTGTCCCTGTTTTAATTGTTTTATTCTTTCTTCATCCATGAAGTTTGCCTTATTGAACATTTATTTTTATTTCTACACTCTTCTATCACTTCCACTGCGTGACAATACATACATTTCAGTCTAGCTAGCTCCCTCGGAAATTCCAGAGGCATATAATTTTGGTGAATCTAATCAAATGTTTCGTGCACATTTCTAGCCTCGCTACAACGTGCCTCGAGGAAACGTCACTGGTTCAAAGTCGGTTGACAAGCTTCCTGGAACGTCTGTCACCTTTTCGTGGTTCATTCACTCAGTGGTACTCGCTAGCCATGGATAGGGCAGTGCAACCGGTGGAACATTGGGTGCCCATTGCATTCTGTTGTGCTTTTTACGGTACATATAAAGTTTCCACAAAAGTTTACGGACAAAGAGCGTGGTTCGAAAACGGTCCTTTCTCGTCAACCGCAAAGGCTGTGTTGCTGGTGGCGCTAAGAAAGCCATCCAGCTAAAATAAAGTTCATATCTGGCAGTGTACCTGCTGGGCCGTTATTGGCCCTTCTCTTTTGCCCGCACGGGAGTCGTCCTTCTCTACAACACAACGCTCTTCCGCAGAGGTTGTGCGGACGTAAGAACGTCGCCCGGGGGGGTGGGCATTTGGGCCAGTTCCCGCAGGGCGACGCCATGTTTGTGCTGCTGCTGCTGTTCCTGGACGGGGCCCTTAGCTTCTGCCAGAACCTGGTGGCCTTCACGGTGCTCAACCTGGTGTCGCCGCTCACCTACTCGGTGTGCAACGCCACCAAGCGCATCTCGGTCATCACCGTGTCCCTGCTCCTGCTCCACAACCCGGTCACACTGCTCAACGTGCTCGGCATGCTCACCGCCGTCCTCGGGGTCCTCTGCTACAACAAGGTGGGGTTCACCGGGGGGGGGGGGGGGGGGGGGCCTTTTTTAGCGCAGTCACGCTGCTCCGAAGAAAAAAACACTCAGTTTGGACGCGTTTCTAGGTTTCTGTTTCCCATTGGAGTGCATCTTTGTAGAAAGCCTGTAGGGTGTTTTCATTGACATAATTATGTCCACCATTTTGTCGTCTGGAGCTGCCCGGTGCATGCCAAAGGCGTGCATTTGAAAGATTCGTCGGGCACTAGGGAATGAGTGCTGCACCAAAGCCTATCTGCTACTCTAACATTCTGTGGAAGGCAGGGCGGTTCCAGGACAATGGAAGAGACCAGCATAGATTATCCAGGATTTCCCTCGCGCCCGCTCTCTGATGCTTGCCAGTGCGCTGAAATTAATTTATTTGGCTACAAATATGAAACAGTTGGGCTTGGATTACGTCGCAGGTAAGGGAGCTGTTGAAATGCGTTAAGAAAATTGGCACTTTAATTTTGAAAAGTTGCAAAGCGGAACGCAACAATTCATGTTTTTAGCCACTCGCTTTTTCTGTCAAAACTATGCGGTGCACAATTGCGCCGACCAGAACTGTGCGGTAATGGCAACACTGGGGGCGACGGCCGCCGCAGTCGTCTCCGCCGCTGTCCCCGCTTTTCCGGTTCTTCGTTTGTTTGTGAGAAGATGAGGGGCGGGCCAGAGTTGCCAACATAGGTTTGATCGTGGGACATCTAGCAACAAAATGGCGGATTGACATTGCGTGAAGGATCCTTATACTACGAAAAGTGTCCAACCGCTCGATCGGGGTCACGTGGTTTACGGGCTGCATCTGCTGTACAAGCTGCGAAGCGATGCTGAAAGCATAGGTCGTTTGCAGACATCTCCGCCTTTCTGCCTGCTGTCTTCCTTGCCACCTGGCGACGCTGCGCATGCGCTTTCGCAACCATTCTCTGTTGAAGGTGTCCACTGTTAAACTGTAAAGGTTCCCCTTTGTTTGAAATGGGTCCTCTCTTCAATTTAGGCTCTCTACATCTTTGCAACGGCAATCCTGCCCCCTTCCCCCCTAACCGAGGCATGCAGCCATCGTGTCGCCTCTGTCGTGGGATGAAAAGAAGCGCAGCACTCGAGCGTCACGCACCTCGATCGCTGGGGAGCAGGACCACCGGCACAAAGACGCACCGCGATAGGAAGTCGAAACTTTATGGGGTTAGGACGCGCCAAAAATAAATAATGAGATAACTATACTGCTAGGAGCGATCGTATGTTCCTATAACCCCGCTAAATTTGTTTCATTAATGGCGCGATAGTTTCGCGGACAAATTGATTTATGTGCGGGACCCTCGGATCGGCCCCGCTTAAAAATACCTCCGGGTTCGTTAGGTCGTTGACGTTATATGCCCGACGCGCGGCGTCCCCTCACATGCACTCGCGGCTCGGCATGTTGCGCTTTGGCCTTCGCAAATACCTTCCATGTCTCGAGCACACGCGTTTGAGACGGCGACATCCACGCATTGTTCGCTTCTTTCGAGTCTTCGCCACGATTGCGGTAGCGACGAGTGTTGTTTTTGAAAGATGGTAGAAGCCGGTCATTTTGACTTCGACCGGCTCGCGACCGACTCCGATGACGACGACGAGATGGTAGGAAACGAGCTCCCCGTCGAACGCGACGGTTTTGCACGTGTGTGCAGGGTGGATCGAAGAGCAAAAGGACGGAATCGAGATTATGCAGAGCGTAAGTTTGTCTGCTTCGTTTGCAGGGTTTGTCGTGACGTCAGAACGCCGAGCTCTGCTTGGCTCTGATTGAAGGATAGTAGGCAGACCTCAAAGCAAGCTGCCTTGAAATCTACCCACTATCCTCCTAATTAAACGCAATCAAAGTTTATTGCGCCGTTTTATTTATTCTCACGTATATAGTTCGCAAAGTATTCAGTATGAAAAACGCGATGGTCGAGGCGGGCAGGTTAAAAGGACCATTCCACGCTCGCGCATGCAGGCAAAGTACGACGCTAACAAGGCAGAGCATGCTGCCGAAGCCAAGCTGCCCACTTCGACCCGGGACCTGAACCCGCTGCTGGAGAGCCTGAACCACCGGCCCAAGGTGGCCAACGGTGTCAACGGCGGGGGGCTGCACCTTTTCACACCCTACCACGACAAGCCAACGGGAGTTTGACGATGGCCACGTCGTTCCTGGAGCAGCGAAGGCCGTCGCGGCACCGGGTGACTTTGCGCCGGGGAGTGGGGCACCTGTCACGGCCTACAGTCTCCCATTGGTCCGTGAATCCAGCATACGGAAGACAGCGTAGGTCTTATTGTTGTCGTTCCTAGGGCAGCAAAGACGCCGACGACATTGAACGACCCCGCACCGGGCGGTGGAGCACCCGGCGTAGTCTACAATCTTGCACCAGAACGCGATTCTGGTCTACAGAGGACCGCATAGGTCTTATCAGTGTTGTTCATGGGGCGGCAAAAACGGCGGCAGCATCGAGCGTCTTCGTGCGGGGGTGGCAGTGGCACGGGGGTGGCACAGCCACGGATGTGGCGCCGTCACCGGGGTTGCATCGCCACTGCCAACCGAGAGTATAGACAACCCATTGTGGTCTTCTGTCAGACTGGGAATCTGGTCTCTGGAGTATAGCCTTTTCTAGCACCGTGGCCCTTCGCGACAGAGGCGACAGAACTCGTAAGGGGTGCGCAACGCGTCTTGCCACAGTTTACAAAGAGGACACAAACGCACGAAAGTACAAATGGACCGCGCCAAGGTTTTTCTTGGTGTGTCGTGCTTTGAGGTGTTGGGCTGTGGGGTGGGGGGGGAGGGGTAGAGTTGATGGCACCTGTTTTCGTTGGTAAGGTTTTCGGGCTACGGCTGTAGGAAAGAAATATTAGGACGAGAAACCTTTTTGCACCATTTACTTGGGGAAGTTTGAAGGCGTAAGCAGATTGGATTAGATTGCATTGTGGTGGCCTAACCCTTCGCGTTGAGTGATGACAGTTTAGTAGTTTGTTCTAGGCCAGGAAGAAAAAACAAAAACTGGTGAAATTGGACTGAAAGGTATTTACGGCAGCAATACTATTTCATTATTTTTTTTAACTTGGCTCGGATGTTTTCATGTATTCAGTATTCAGTACGGTTTGTGTCTGGATCTCCCGAGGGTTGTCTGCCACCGCTAGTAAGAAGATAGAGAAAAACTAATGTCACCTGTTGGCTATAATCGTGCATAAAAATAAACAAATAAATTGTGTTTTTATAATTCTTTTTTTACGATTGCATTTAGGATGTTTTTTTTCTTTATCTCGCTAAAGGGAATATTATCTCGCTAAAAATATCTCGTACAATGCAACGCTGCTGCTTAACCCAAAAAGAAACAGTTTTGTACGGATTTCACGTTGCTCCAGATTCATGCCATGTTTTTTCTTCGTGGGCCCTTTTGAACGCCAGTGTCTTGTGCAGTCTTTTGGGGAGCATTGCACTGCCTTCTTCTTGGGCTTTCTCGCTTTGGAAGAAAGACTCCATCTTCTGACGTACAAACGTTCCGTGGTGTTCAGGAGACCGGTGCCATTGTTTCGGCTCAACTTACCACTTCGATCCTCTGATGCTGTTGGTACGAATATCATGTTTTTGGACCAGCTTTCTTTTGCTCGCTCTTAAATAGAAACTAAAGTATAGCTTTGTTTTGGTAGGATTGTAGTGTTCAGGTTGCTTACCTCGGGTGGATGCAGCATTCTAAATGTTGTTCGTCACCTTCCGAGTTGAAATCTGAGGACCAGTCAGATTATTAAGATTCGGTCTTCTCGTTTCTTCGCATTGTGTTTAGAAATGACAATATAGTTTGTTGACTGTGTCACGTTGCATTTAAAAACAATATTTTTTGTTGATTGTGGTTGAGAAGCCACGCATGAAGACTATGGTCATTCATTAGTCATTACTTGTTGTGTGTGCATGTTCTTTTTTGTTTCGTTCGATTAAACAAAAACGTGCTCGGGAGGCCGTAGCTTTTTGGGAAGGCACTCTCTATGTAGATGTAGTGTAAAATGGATTCTTCGTTTTATGAAACCTGGAACCCTGTTTAGGTGCGTAAAAGGAGGTAGAGAATGGGGATGCACAAGAAATGACCCGCACCAATAATGGCCCTAGTCTGGAGCGAAGTGCATTAATGCCATCTCGCACGTTCATCCATTACTTTTTTCGGCTGCTTTTGAGCTCGCTTTCTTACCTGGTGTCTCGTTTGTTATGGCCATTTTATGTTTGCCATCTGGTAACATTGGTACTTTTGAATTATCAAAATTGATTAAAGGAGACGGTTGTAGAAAATTGTACATTGCAGCTTTTAACAGTCTCTGGAGCTCCCTGCTTGTGACAGCAGCGTGATGTAGTGTTCCACTTTAAAACTTTTTCAATATGAAAAAAAAAAAAGGAACAATGTGACAAAAATTAAGGTTGTTTTAGTGTTCTATGCAGTCTAGTTGGGAGCGTTTATTTTTTTTTCTTCCGGAACTTACACTTATTGTTTTTCTTTGTTTGCTCATTATATTTAATCAATTTCGGCTACTAACAACCGATGTGACAGTTTCTCCTGGAAAATATTTTCAACGCTTGATGCCCGAGTCGGATAAATACTTCAGCTGCGTGGTGTCTCAAATGACAGACATACATTATATCTTTTTTTTGTTCCGTCGCTAGAACCACTTAAATTGGTTGGGGTATACCCGAGAATTTTGCTCCACGGGTGGAAAATGCAACTGAATTTGTTTTGATTTCCCATTTTCAGTGTGCTCGACAGATATCTCGTAAACGAATATAATAGCCCCAGTTTGTATTTTGTTCAGAGGCGTTTCGGGCATTAAGTGTTTATGAAGCAATGTTTATTTCTATTGCATTAGTTGCAAAACCTAACAGAGAGATTGTTATTTGCTGCCATTTGAAGCATGGCTTACAAAAGCTTTATTTCACTATGCTTATGGCTCTGTTTTGGTGCCCTCGCCATTTTAATTGTGGGCCAGGAGAAATTATCATATGCACTAAGTAGATTAGATTTTTGTTGCTTCTGCCTTTGGTGGTGCATTTTGGCTTTACTAACCTAATTTATTACTTTAATTAAGAAATTTGTGCCAGTGTTGCGAGTGTCTGGCTATGTTCCATACACTATCAAAAAAACTTTGACCTGTGATTCTGTTGAGTGTGATTGATTGTTAAAAGTGTGATTACAACATTTTAGAAATGTCACTATTGCCTTTTCCTTTTGTTTGTGGGTGCACATGTGGAATATTTTTGTGCTTATTTTGCAATGCTTATATGAACCACTACCTATACATATGTTTGTTCTTGCCCATGTGATTTTTTTGTATGTTGCAGAGGGTTAGGACTTCCTAGCAAGACTGGCTGCTCCATTCCAGCAGTAATGATAGTTTTGAGGTGCATTTATGCTTGTTTATTTTTTTAATTCATGCAAATGTGATGGAACAATGCAAAGTGATTCTCTCAGTTTTGTTTTCTATATTTATGGACGTAATTTAAAGCCATTTTCGGTGTTAATACACTTTTAGAAAGTGAAATAGCCATTAATACAGGGTGTTTAATTTTAATTAGAACAGATAAAAAAGATAGTGGCTGTGGGTTAAAGGAGTTCTGTCTATGGTAATGGTTCTTGAGATGTTAGTATCAAATTTCTCGTTTTTTTGCTCAATCTTAAATTTGTGCTCAACAGGAGTGTCCCAAGCCCTGCCCTCAATGATGTTATGAAGAGTGATGTTGTCGTCTCGATCATGTCGTCACTATTTCGGCAGTGCGTCCTTGGTGGGTGCACCGACGACACTAGTGACGATGTGACTGAAACGACTACGTCACTCTTTCAAGCGTCATTGTGAGCAAGGTTTGCAGCGTTTTTTTTTAGCTCAATTTTTAAATCGTGCGAGAAAACGTTAAATTTGATAGATTAATATTGCTACAACAATTACTTTTTTTATAAATGCTTTAAATTAGTCTGGCCTCTAATGGTAATTGGCATCAGTACTGCAATTTCATCATGACTGCTAAAACTAATAATTAAAAAGTTGGGTAAGAGATTTTAGTTAATTAGTAAACTTACCGTGACGATTATCCCCTCAGCTAATGTCCACTGAACCTGGTAAATACATGGTGAAGACAGAACTTGTCTGACTCTCACCCCCTATTTTTAAAAAAGTCGGTTCAAATTAAAATTAAATTTCCTGTATGTTACATGCAAGGGGAAAAAACGGCAGCCTTTATCATTAAAGAAGGGGGTTGTGGAGTAACTTTTTAAATTGAACATATCACATTCTGATCACCCGTATTTAGTCTAGTTGAAAAGTGTCTTAAGAGCTCCAGCAAAATTTGGATATCAGTTGACTTGCCACAAAATCGGTCTAACTCACCAATAGGCACGGGTGAACCAGGAGCTCAAAATTATATATTGAAATCATTTGTTTTCGCGAAGGCCCGAATTTTCAAGTTTGGTCCTCACCGCCTTTTCGAATGGAAGGTTCCTACTGGGAACACTGACTACAAACCTGGGTAGCGGTTCACTATTTGAAAATGAGAACTTGTTCCCGAGGGATTGCAAGAGGTTTGGTTGTGGTGCGAAATGTACTTTGGGGAAGCTCACTCCAGACCCTCGCTCAGCAGCGTGAAACAAATGCGCGACATCTCGATCTTGTAAGTTTCCCAACGCGGGACTTCACATCACTAAGAATTGTGGGAAAAGCTTAGCATCCCATTTGTTTGCCAATGTCTTGATAGCTATTTTGAATTGAGAGATGCTTTTTCTGCGCGCGATCGGTTTAGTTGGTGATAGCAAACGCAAAAATAAAGCAAACCTCGAACGAAAAGGAAGATGCTGGCAAACTCAACTTTCATTCATTTTCTTCGCACGTTTAATTTCGATCGTAAAGAAGAAGAAAAATACTGCGGGCCTTTCCGAAATGTCACTTCGGGGCTGTAGCCTCGAGTCTGGAACCTCCGATTGTTGAACCTTTCACGTAGTTTATCTCCGTTAGCGTTTGGTACGTGATCTTCGCCTTCCGATTTCTAGACATTTTGTTGCTTGCATGTGCATTCTTCCTCGCTCGTGTCATTAGAAAATGTCGCAACTAGGTTACGGTCGTTTGCAGGTTAAGAATGGCGCCAGACCAGCTCCTTCCACATAGTCCTTCTCCCTTTCCACTTTAGCAGAGTGGACGCTGGAGAGGACGAAGATCTTTTTGGAAGGGGCTTCTCTTCCCCCTTTCGTGTTGCAACAGACTACGCGCACGTGGCACATCTGCACCTTCCATCGCACATTCCCGTGATCCAGTGCTCTCTGCATTCCACCTGTGCTTTCTCGATTGGAGATTATTTAAGAGCAGTTTATTTCGAGAAGGGAGCGCGACTCTGTAAAGCTATCTATTTACTTTGGCTGGGTTTCTTTTGTGCCGCCAGATCGCATACGTAACCTCCTTGCTTTGCACAATTCCTCTTCATTTTATTGTACGTGCCTTCCAAGAAGAACCACACGCATTTTCTATGGGGAAATTTTCACTTCCGTACTGTCCCTTTTATTATGTGGAAAAGGGTACACGCCCGAATCCTGTTTTTATTGGAATAAAGTTGTCCAACTTTATGAACCCCCTTCATTGTTTATTCTCCATGGTGAAAAAGGTTTTCTCTCCCTGAATGCAAAAGTTGAATAACGAGGGACCTTTCCTCCAGGAAGGGGCACGGAAACGAGATGACGTGACCGCCGAGCTCTCTCTACCTCTCGCTTCAAAATTGGCCAGCGAGAAGTGCAATCCCTTTCGCGCCCGTGACGTCGAGGTCCTCTGCACGGCCAAGGGTGCTGTAGTTGCGAGCATTGCCGCCTGGTGCAGCAACGTGTGACAGTCTCGCCTAATATATCCGTGGCGTCACTAGGGTTAGCGGCAGTTCTTAAAATCTCCCATAAGTTGAGGGGGGTCCCTACAAGAAGGTTAGGAGGGGGGCGGGGGTGCATCGAGATGTACTAGATGCACATAAAATATACATCACTGCTGACTCAGCACATGCTGTACCTGCAACCCTCAAATTACTAATCCCCAAATGTCACATCTCTGAAAACAAGCTATTTTATTGCGAGATATGATTTTGATTTTACTAATGCTGGGGGGCGGGGGGGGGGGGGGGGGGGCAGTGGAGGAAGGTCTCAGACCATCCGTTAAAATGCGAAGCTTGAAAGAAGAAAACGGGAAAGGGGGGGGGGGGGGGGGGGTGTTATGGTTGGCCTGGCAGAGGTCCCCGCATCCTCGTATCAAGATCCTACCTATGGTCTGCTAAGAACGGTGATCTTGATGGTGTGGAATGCACATGGCAGCATTCTAACAGATCTTCACAGACCGCCACCGGGCGCAGTTATCTTGAAATCTCGTCGTTCGTTTTAGAATTGTTTTCTTAAATTTTCTGCCGGCAGCCCAGAAATACCAGTGCGGACCAGTGTTACGGAATAGGAACCCTATTCCAATTCCGTTCCGGGGAATTACAGCTTCGAACAATTACATTCGTTTCAACTCCTCGGAATGATAACATTGGGCCCATTCCCACTCCTGGAATGACTGAGCTTCACCATTCCATTCCTTTTTAAAGGGGTACGGAAACAAAAAAAAAAATGAAATATTCAGATTTCTTTCGGAAATGAGTCAAGCATGACGGATAATGACCGTAAATGATAATCGCACGTCTGTATTTTGAACGATTGGCCATATTTTTCGTTCCGAACGGTGCACTCGAGCAAGCGCTCGAAGAGAAGCGAACGGAGAGTGCGATGCGTCATGGGATATCCGGCGCAAACAAAAACAGAAAGAAAAGATTCCCCGCGTTCGTGGAGTAGCAAGGCAGGCGTGGTTATGAGCTTTGCCCTTGGTGGCGTTGTCAGCGTTGTGGTGGTGTCAATAGCGTCAGCCCGTTACAACCGATCCGTTCGGAGTACCCGTGGGGCAGTGTTGGACAAAATACTCGATAAAAGTATTTAAGTTACTAATTATCTGCGTCATAAAGTATTTAAAATACTGCTCAAGTTACTTTCACTGTAAACTATTTTGACTAGAGTACGAATACTTAGAAATGTAATTTAATTACATTTGAAGATACTTCCGCATTGCGTAATTTGTATCGATGTCAGTGACAAACACAATTATACATATGCGCAAATCTGGTTTACCAGAATGGTTTATTCGCACGCAAAAGAAGCCGCTCCTCAAACGTCTCGTCAGACAGCCGTCCTCATTTGCGCTGGAAGACATCACCGCCTATGCTAAAAAGTCGTTCAACCGAGGCACTAGACGGCACTGCCACATTGTACCCCAAAAAGGGCTGATGCAGAGAGGGGTAGTTGATGTCCGTGACCTCTTTTCCGGCAGTGTCCGACATTTATCTTGCCAGCTCTTGTGACGCACCACATCGTTCGCCTTGTTGCCCGTACCCAAAGTCCTCGAAGCCGAAAAAATCTTCAGCTGATGTTTCAGCACTTTCGGGTGATGCCTTGGTAGAGGGCTCGACATTTTGGGGCAGGCGCGCCCCTTCATCTTTCATTAGCTGAGTGACCATCCCCCGCTGAGCCTCTGCGATCCACTGCATCTTGAAGCGCGGCAACAGCACAGCGCTGACCACAAGTGGGGTGTCCCTCATTTTGTCACCAAACCTGGAAAAAATGTTTTTTTCTTTTTTAACATTTGCGGTTAGCTTTACAGAATATGTGTCAATTCTATTCCATAACGACATCCGATCTTTCCAGTGATACTGTAATAGAAAAAAAGAATCGTCTCACACACATACAATTCGAAGTGTACACAAAGTGCCCAAAACGACGCTCAGAACAATAGGGACCTTTAGCAGACCGTTGCCGCGCTCCGCGTACCGCACTACCGGAGCCTTTGAAGCATGCTTTTAAGCGCGCGCCCCGCGGTCACGGTCAGTGGCGTAACTATGTAGATATGACGGCGCCCATGGCAAATAAAATTTCGCGCCCCTCATGATAGTGATAATGACATCATCATTATATTATTTTTATGGGTGGACTCGGCTCGGCACCCCCTTCCCAAGTGGCGCCCGGGGCACTTGTACCCCCCCCCCCCCCCCCTCCCTTAATTACGCCACTGGTCACGGTACCACCCGGGCGCGCGCTTAAAAGCTTCAAAGGCTCCGGTAGCGCTGTTCGCGGAGCAGGGCAAAGGTTCTGTAGAGGTCCCCACTGACTGCCTCAGCCTGAGAAGCGTCATTGTGGGCAAAGATCGCGGCGTGCTTTATGCGCGCACTTTTCAAATCGGGCTGAAAGACGTGAACATTGATTAATTATTACCTTAAACACTAATACTTTTGCAAATACTTTTAGACGGTCTGGCCTCGTAGCAATTGCCGTCGATTCTTCGGTGGGAACATGACCCGTAAAACCAATAATTAAGAAATTATTAAGAGATTTTAGTTTATGAGCCAACTCATGACGATTATACTCATCTAATGTCTGCCGAACTCGAGAAACACCTAGCGAAGACAGCACTCAGCTAGCAGCTTGCACTCTTTCTTAAAAACAATAATTATGTTTCCATTGTTACACATCGCCCTGGGCCTGTATATATTTTAGGTAGTTACTGAATAAATTTCTTCTTTTTTTGTGTGTGTATGTAAATAGGAAAAAAATATGGTTTGTACTTTTAACGCTTTAGTCAAATAAAACATAAATAAGTCATCTGACCGTTTTTCGAGACCTGCGATCACGGCTGTTTCAGCGGCTCGCAGTACTCCAGTCCATGTTGTGATGTCAGCTTGCGTTTCAGTGCTGCAATTGTGGGGAGTAGGTATCCTAGATACATGTTTTTGTCCCCTCGTAAAATATCCAGTGCGTCCGCAAGTGGTTTCATGACCTAGAATAGGCAATTGACAAAATGTGACTCTGTACATAGACTAACACTTGAATTTCCACTCACCTGGCAGTTCTCTCCGACAAAGTCTACGTCAACGGGGCATCGCAAAGCATGCAGTTTCTGCCGCATACAGAATTTTTCCAGGTGCTCCGAACGGTTGTTTAAGAGATCTCGGGTGCATTTTATGGCGTTGTAGCGCGAATTCCAAGGTGTTACGTTTCGCACAACAAGGTACCTTGAAAAGCACAAAAAAGAAGCCATATTATCATAACATAAAAATAAGAACTCGTGCGAATAACCGCAAAAAAGGTAATGTGCTTTTGTTTTCGAAAGCACATTACCTTTTTTGCGGTTATTCGCACGACGAGTTCTTTTTTTTTTATGTTATGATAATATGGCTTCTTTTTTGTGCTTTTCAAGGTACCTTGTTGTGCGAAACGTAACGTTTCGTTGTTTTAGTATCAAAGTTCGAACCGTAGTTACAGGTCGATCCGAGTAAATATGAACACCTAAATAAAATGCCTCAACGTCTCATGGTTTCAAAAAATTGAGATGGCAACTAAAAAAATTGAGTTGCCATTTCAATAGAATCTGGCGACTCAATTGCAGAAAAACCCCGGAACCATTGAGAGGCAATACAATTTTAGTATTACGTAAAAATTGAGAACTTACCGTCCACAGAGGTCATGGAGTTCATCGGCAGCCAGCGTTGACTGGTTTTGTTTTGCCCATAAGCTCTGGCACTTAGCAAAAACCGCTTTGGAGATGGCGCTTTCTGCTTTCTGGGCATCGGCACCAGCAACCAAGTTCAATGCGTGCGATGCACATTTTTGATGTGGAGGTAGTCGATACGGCACCCCATTGTCGAGAACTGGCGTCAGCGCAATGGGCTGTTTCCTCATCGTCATCGTGAGAACCGAAAACTCTAAATGAAGCAACGTCGTAGTTAGCAGTTTTAAACGGTTCCCGGACATTTCATCGAACGCCGTTTCATCGAAAAAATGGACGTTCCATCGAACGCCGTTTCATCGACCGCCGTTTCATCGACCGCCGTTTTATCGAATCGCTGACGGCCGTTTCATCGAATAAAATGTCTTTTAAATAAAAGTGTGAAAGATGTTCTTTTATGCACGGATCGAGTGCATTTTCGTATCATTCACCCATTTCATCGTCAGGTTTTTAATGTCCAAACTTGTAGCTGTTACAATTTATTTTGATGCAAGTAACCCATGAGGATATTTGTACCGATCTTTATGTTTGTTTCGCGCATTGTGCTTATCTCTTCACCCCCTCTGTATTGCCCGATAGGCCTTGAGGGTATTGTAAGAAATAAATAAAAAGTCGCACTCCCGGTAAGAGCGCACTCGAACTCATGGAGGCCAGAAGGCGACTTCGGTTTTGCGCAGGCGCAACAACTTTGGCCATGTGAGCCTCCTAGCCTCTCATGTCTTTTTATTGATACTTTTTTACTGCCCGAAGCTTGCAGTAGCTAAAGCTGAGGTGCTATTTATGAAGCTACAACGAAACATTGTTTTTTTAGTTTTAAGACTCAATGAAGTCAAAAGTAAGTACGTCACTTCAAATTTTATTTGAAAACTTTCGGAGGTTCATGTGTTCGTGCGACAGCCATTCACCGTTTCAAAAAAGTTCCCCATAGCCATGGTCCGTCGGTTCTCATAAAAAAGGCGGACCTTCTCATTTCTTGCCACTATGGCCTTCTTCTGGCGAGGAGGCTCTTGGGAA